ACCACTTATTGGGCAGCTCAAGCAACTTCTGTTCTCTTTCTGACTGTATTTTTTCTATTCTGTCACTGTTTTCTTATTTTTTGGTACCAGCATCAGATTTCTGTCTACCTTAGACTTTAAGCATTCCAAAGTCAAGAATCAAGGATTCAATTCACCTAACATCTGCTGAGCTACCTATGCTGGGCTAGGTGCTATGATAAGTGCTTTGGAAATAAGTATTAATCCAACATGGTCCCTGCCTTCAGAGAACTTAGAGACTACAGAGGAGACAGATCTCTTAAAAATTAAATACAAAACAGTTAAGCAAGTGCAATGTAGGAGGCATATTAAAATTGCTATGGGAAAACTGCCAAAGGAGCCTCCCTTAGAAACCCAGGGAAAACTATGGAAAAGAAGGGACTTTGACAAAACCAGTCCTATTTGAATGAAGGGGGAAAAGATCTTCAGGAAGAAGAGAGAGCACACTAAAAGGGAAAATAGCATAAGCAGTGGGTCTGAGGTCAAGTGACTAGTGAAACTAAAGCAGAAGGTCTGGGAGCCTGGGCAAGAGGCAAGAGTTTATTTTTTATGGTATATTAATGTGTGAACAGGATAAAACTATATCTGGGCTGTAAAGCATTTAGACTTCAGAGGGAACCTGGACAACAGAAGGTTTTTTAAGCAACTGAATATAAATAAATTCATTAGACATTGCTGCAATGTTATCTCTCTTTGCCTTCAACTTTTGTATAGTCTTCACCTCTCAAAAAACTGGCTTGAAACTAAGGATTGTTACCAGCTAAAGCAAGGTCTATTAATCACAGACCATACCATAAGGCTTGAAAGTTACCTGAGCTTTAAACAGTGTTCTGCTTGTACATTCTAACACTTCCAGTTATGAATTTTCTACTCTTTCACTGATTCTGTGACATTTCTCCTCACATTATAGACTCCAGGAAACAAGGCCAGACCTTTAGGAACTCTTTTTCTTACAAGCTTTTGGCCTCTGGTTATATAGCCACCATCCAGTAAATAGAGGTGTTCAGCTAGAATTCACGCACCCAAATGATTCTACCCTTCTAAAGCTTAAGATAAAAATGAAACATTTATTAAAATAATAAAGTGTCACACCTAAAATATTCATAGTTATTTGGTATAAATATAGCAAATCACAATCTGAGCCAAGTCAAATTTAAGAAATACTAACACCTAGGTTTTGTCTAGTAACTTTTTTGCTAATGTTCAACTGCTATGAGCCATTGCATGATTAAACCCTGCTTCTGTTTCCCAGACTAAGTAGAAACAGTTGCCCTGATCTTTATCTTAAAATTATAAGTCTTATATAGTTTTAAACTTCATATACATGGCTCCAGCCCTTCAGGGATTTAGAGCAGGCTTATAAGTGATTTTCTCATGGCCTTAATATTAAGTCTTTAAACTACCTACACATAACTTTCCAGAGAGGCCATGCTAAGTTGCCTTCTTAGAATTCTCAGTTGGCTCTCAAAGTGATTCTGGCTCACTCTGTTTCCCCTACATTGTTTTTTAAATAACTAGAAGCTCCTTTCTTCAGGTCAAACAAGTCCACCAACCTAAAGAAATACATAAAAGGAAAAGACTGTTGGTTGTCTCAGAATAGACTGGCCATTCCAATATGGAGACTGTTTTTCCTTCCATGTGAATCTTCTCTTTCTCTATCCCCTTCCCCTTTGAAATTCAGACATATTAGAGGATCTAACTGGACTTAAATGCTTAAAGCTTTCTATTAACATCCAAAGCAGGATCATACCTCCTTACAAACCTGCTTCTATTCATTTTTTGTTTTGTTTTTCAAGAAGCTAGGGCCTCTTTTCCACCTGAACCAGGCTTTATAAAATGTACTTCAATAGAACGTGAACAGTTACTCTTCAAAAGTAAGTATTCTCTCAAACGTTTAAAGGTTGTATCTATGAGCAACTTCTTATTAATCACCTAACCACATAATCTGAGATTGTTCCCACTAATCCCTAGCTCTCCTTTCATGAAGTCATCCTGAATCCTTAGCCTGGAATCAGAAGCCTTTGATTTTCATCCTTCAGCTTGCAGCTCAGCCTCATTAGTCAACCATGCATGTCTCAATGGCAACCAAGGATATTTCTGTTTCTAGAAATTTCCTATATTCTTTGCTTTTTCTAAATGTCCTTACACATTTGCTGCTGACTTTCATTTTGTTTTATTTGTAATAATTCCTTCAATGATCCCTTTTTCTTTTTATTAGTTAGAATTATATGAAACATTGTACTCTGATGACAAACCCTCTCAAATCTGACCATCAGAGTCTTGGTTTGTTCAAGAGTTAGTAACTCATAAGCTACTAAAACATTTTGGAAAAAATACATACATAAATACATATATGTAACATACATACTAAATAGTATATATTTTAGAACATGTATTTGTAAGGTGGTATAGCCTGATCTGAGATTTAACATATAATCTTAATCATTTGATTCTAATTAGATTTTATTGCCTGAGAGTGTTAAAGGGCAAGAGACTAGAGAAAGAGAAGATTCATAAGAAAAATATCTCCATATTGGAAAAACCAGTCTATTTTGGGTATATATATATATATGTGTGTGTATGTACGTGTATCTATGCATTCAATCAAATACATATTTAAGAATCATCTTGCATGCACCAAACACAAAATCCATGCACTGAACAGGAAAAAGTAAATAATATTTTTCCTATTTTCAAGTTTAGCACTAACAGGAGAAAAAGATATAATAAAGACATAATATGGGTATAATAAATCTTGTTTTTATATGAATAAAGGGCTTTGGGATGAAGAAACAGATGTATTTAATTAATTAGTCCTGAGGAATTTAGTGTTGGCTTTGCTAGGTCTTAAAGGATTAGTAGAATTTCACCAAGCAAAGCTTAGAAGATGAGCAAAAGACACAAGCAGTAATGTACACATAATACTCAGGTAACGGGGACTTACAGAACAAGGACTTTGCTTTGGGAAATGATAAGAGATGATGATAGTAGAGTAAAGTAGGGACAGATTATGAAGGCCCTTGAATACTTTGTTAACATTTCATTTTATTTTGAAAGCAACTGAACATTATGAAATGATTTTAAGTGAAGGAATGAAATGACTAGATCTTCATTTTTAAACTGTAATTCAGGATGTAGTAGGAGGATCATGTATAAGGATGAGGAGATGAACAGAAAAATCAATTAGGAGAGTTGACCAATTGATCAATCTGGCCTACACCTCCCTACAAAACAAATCAATTGCATAGTTGATGCTCCTGATTACAAAGGCCTGCTCTAGAGTAAATTTCTGAGTGAGAGAGAGAGGGAAACTTAATGGGAAACATTTTAAAAACAGAACCAATTGGGTTCAGTGATCAACTAATTGTGAAGCACTGAAGAAAAAGAGGAGGCAAGGATGTTCTAAGATTTGGGGTTGGGTGATTGGAGATGTGGCAGTGCCAGGAGCTAAAATTGAGAAAACAAGAGCAGAAGTGTATCTTGGCAAGGAAAAGTACTTAGGGGACACTTAAGTGGAGTGGAGGACACTCAAGTAGAGATTTACAAGAGGAAGTCAGAGTTCCAGAGAGGCTAGACCTAGAATCACAGCTTTAAGAGTCATCGTTGGAACCATAAAAGTGAATAACGTCACTACGTAGGGCAAGCGTGCAGAGTGAAAAAGGAAGCACAAACCAAAGTCCCATAAAACATCATGTCAAAGGGAGAAGGAAAGGAAGAATGAAGGAGATCCTGGAAAGAGGGGCTTGGAGATAGGAAGAAAGGATGCAACCAAAACCTGGGGGAAGAAAGGTTGCAAAAGTAGGGAAGGCCAGAGTGGCAGGATTTCCAGAGAAGAAGCTATTGTATATGATCAGAGCAACAGGAATATTAGGAGAACCATTTCTAGAGAATGAGAACAAACTAGATTCCTAGGATAACAAAGAAGAGGAACAGGAATGCAGGGGCAGCAACCTTCAGGCAGAGGGATTGTGACTTGAGAGAACTGCAGGATTTAGAGATGGTTTGACTTAATTTTGAAGTACTTAAGTGTCATAGAAAATACAATTTAAATCTTAAGGCCTTTAGCTTGTCATCATGAGGTTTGAAAATGTGCAGGCCTTGTCTTCCATGTGACTTAAGCTCCTGCTTCATTTAGGATTGCCTTAAATCCTGCCCTGTATAAACTGTCACTGAAGACACTTCTTACTGATGAGGCATACTTCACCTTTCCTGACGATGGCTTTTTTCAACCAATGGAAAATGTTATGAAAGAACATGGTCTCACAGGAGAATGGGGTAATAGAACTTGGGTGTTAGATCTAGCTGTGAATGAACAATCACCTTGGAAATGTCGAGCGTCAGGGGACACTGAAGAGGTCAACCATCGATCCCAAATCCTCAGGCTGAAGAGAAGCCAATGAAAAAGGCTGGAAGATGATACCCAAGGAGAAGGACAGCCAGGAGCACTCTTTGAGACACTAATGGGAGACAATGCTTCCAGAGGGAGGCATCAAATGTTGTGGAAGGAAGTGAAAGGAGGCTTCTTTATTTGGGAAGAGAATGTCCTTGGGACCATGACACAGCACTTCAGTAGAATGGTGAAGCAGAGACCAGACTTGGGCAGTGAGTAGATGGTAGTACCCTAGTGTTCCCTTCACTTCTCACATGCAGTAAATGATTTATCCTCTATATACAATGAACTTTTATATATACTGCATCTGAATGTGTTTGTGTATATGCACACATACACATATGTATATTTAAGATATATTATTCACTGTCGAATGATGTTTTCCCATTTTTAATTTTAAAAATAATTATGAACTTGGAAACTGACTTGTCATCCCAGTGCGAATTGTTCAAAGTACCAATGTAGGAGAAAAGAACCAACTTTTTCAGAGAGATTATATGCTAGAGTTTCTATGATGCTTTGTGATACATGAGTTCATTCTCTCTCCTCTTCCCTCTCCTCCCACCCCCGCCTCCCCTTTCTTTCCTTCCAGTGGAATGGAGTATGTCGAAAGACTTTTGTCCTTTGGCTGGAGAAATCATCATGGAAAACCTGCAGACCCTGAGATGTACAATCACAGGACTTACAATGGTAAATGCCAAATCCTCCCATTACATTATTTAAAAACAGAACCAATTGACTTCACATTCTCCTACCCCAGATGTTTGTGCTGGGGTTAGCAAATGCCTACTCTGGAAGCAACAGCCAGTGCCACATCCTCTGGCAACAACTGCCACTCATTAGGCATGATATGTCTGGTATCCATAATCTGAACCCCACAAAAAGGGGTGAGCAGACAGCATGAACCACTTTGTAAGATGCCGTGTTCTACAGAGATCAGAAAAAGACTGGCCTCATGCAAGTCTTGAAAGCTGCTGCTTTCTGGATCACGGTCTAATCTTTGGGGGGATCAAAGGCTCTGAGAGGTCCAATTTTGACTCCCTATCTTGATGGTAAAAATAACAGCCTCATCTAACCCATACCCCACTGCCTCAGCTGAGATCAGTCATCAATTGGAGTCATACAATTTCCTGAGAGAAATCCTTTTCCCTTGATTAAAAAAAAATCTGTCTAAATCTAATTTCACAAAGAAGAAAATATATATGGTGGTGCTACATTTCTCAGTAACCTGAACCAATTTAAACTGTGAGTGAAAAACTGTAACTGTTTATTTGTTTAACCAATCTAAATTCAAACATTAATTATTTATAGGACTATTAACCATATGAGCATATGAGATGCAAAAAAATAAAAACTAGTGAATCAGTTCAAACTGGAACAAACCCTGTATTTCCTCAATTAAAATGAAGTGAGACTGAATCATCAAAAAAATTTTTCACCAAAAATTTGAATCACACCTGTATTTTTTATCCAGTTCAAACAATTAACATCTTAGGATCTTCATATGTGAGAAGTAGAGGGAGAATTTTGTAGTTTTTCTAAAAGGTCAGTCCTTTAAAACAGTTAGTTATCTGTAAAGCAAAATCCTGAAACCCAGCATTAAAAAACTGCATTAGGTTACATCTCTTTAAGTTTGAGCCAGCTTATTCTAATAGAATTCTTGATGGTTGGGTCACCACCACAGAATCTTGACATTTAGTCCTAATCACACATCTATACCAGGGGCCAAAACTGTGGATTATCAGAGCAAACGAATCCCTGAGTGGGTGGCCCCCCCGAGATGCTATCAGCAGAAGACTGATTTCCAACCCTATAGTTCACAAGATGGAAGAGGCCCAGAAAGGAACTCTAGGGAATTTCCATTGCTTAAAAGAAAAAGTGATATTGTGATAAAAATGGAAAACTCTCCATAGAGAGTTTCTCTAATATTTGAACTAATTTTTATAGGAATTAAGTTTTTCCATTTGGTAGTTCAATGAGAGCAATTCAGACACTAGCCTAATCACATAAAAGCCTACAAGTAGATTTACACTTCTGTAGAATCTCCATAACCTTGAGATACACAGAAACCCATTTTTACTATTTAAAAAAATAACTTTATAGTATGGTAAGACCAATATTATTAAATACTACTAAAGCCTCTACAAAGGTGTGTTATTTAACTTCAAATACCGTTTTACAATTATTGCAAGCAATGTTTTATCAATTGCTGACTTTTAAAATGTGCATTTAAGTTCAGTGGGAAAAATAAAACTTCTCAAAGCAAAAATATAAAAATACACAAAACATTTTAAAAGATGATGAACAAGGAAAACAACTCCTCGATTCTTAACGTCATAAGACATTAAAGAATATAAACCATTGTTTTAATAATGGTTTTAAAACTGAAGTAACATCAAATAATCTTAAAAGTTTTAATAACTGACTAGATGATATTTATTAGAGCATTATTTATTATGGCATAAAATGTGGGAACAATCTAAATGCCCACCAGTGGGGGATTAGTTAAATAAATGATGGGATTTGCCCACAGTGAAATACCATGGAGCACTAAAAGTATGAATCAGATCTTTAATGTCCTAATCTGCAAAGATACTCATTATAACTTGTTAATGTTACAAAGCAAGTTGATCAGTTAAAGAGTGATGGTGATTGCCTTGCCTTAGAGAGGAGGAAAGGAGAAAGGGAGGATAAGAAATTGCTGGCTTTGGTAAACCTTGTAGAACTATGTGACTTTTATAAATTAGAGTATAATTTTGGGGGAGGGAGGCAGGAAAAGTAATTATAATGTTCCAATTTTGAAAAAGGAAAGTGCAAAGACACTAGGAGGACACCCCAAATATGTTTATTATCATACATAAATATATGAGGAAAATCTAGAAAGCTGAAGTATTGCTTTAGCTAGAGTGGATTTCCCAAGAGATGATTGAGTTAATCAGACATAGGTATCTGCTTCTAGAGTAAAAGTGATTAAATAAAATTCCTGATGAATTATCGTTCTCTCTATTTTGATACTTTTCAGGGGCAACAGTATTTTGTTCAAGTCTCGGCATATAACATGAAAGGATGGGGACCTGCTCAGACCACAACACCAGCATGTGCCTCGCCTTCTAGTAGGTGGTGGCTGTGAACTCTCTCCAGCCTGACAACAGGCTCCAATTCCACCTCCATCCTCAGGATGCCATTGCCATTTTCTCCCTCTACTGCTTGGGACTAACAAGACCTCCTCAGGGTAGCATCTGGGCCACATAATGAATGACTGCTCCTCAGAACTGTTCCCTGGGAGGCAACTCAGTGGAATGGAAGGAGAAGGAATCTGGAACCAAGACCAAATTTGATGCCTATTATACCCTTTATTCGCTGTGTCCTCCAAAAGTCCCTTAAACTCTCCTAAGTCTCAATTCAACATCTGCAGATCAGGTGTGATCATACCCTTTTAGAGGGTTTTCATGGAGATGTAGTGAAATGGCACAGTGGGAGTGGCTGAGCTAGAGAACATACTGCCGTTTTAGCTCTCATCTCCCCGTCCTCACCCACTCACCCCCATGGAATTGATAAGAGAATGAAATTTAGCAAATTTTACTAATCTGATATTCTGTCAGAAGAAAAAGCTTTCTCACTAACAGGTACTCTGCTATACTTTGCTACAAATATGATCCATAACATTTGTAGCAGTGGCTGAAAAACTCAGCAAAAGCCTCTTCTAATTATTTGAAGATTAATCATTTATGCCTAGTAGATTTGGTAACTATTAACCAGAAAATTTAATTAACCAGAAGAAATATCTGTATATATACCCTATGATAGATTTTTCTGCATAATGAGTCAATTGCTCTAAATTGAATTTTAATTTTCAAAAATCTTCATGAATGTCATAGTTAAAAATGGTATTATATGCTTTGTGAGATCGCAAACTGCTACACTCTTTGTGGAACACGATTTGCCACATTATATCAACTGCCACAAGAACATTCACTTCTTTTTGCCCCATAATTACACAGCTAGGAATGTGGCCTAGGGAAGAGATGCAGACAAGCTATTATGAACAAAGATGTGCACTGCAGCAATATATTGATAAAGTGAAAAATCACATGAGGTGGAGAGAATATCCAATATTAGCTTAGTGGTTAAGTAAAGTATGATATATACAAATCCATACTACAGAACAAAATGCAGCCATTAAAAATAGTGTTTTAAAAAAAATTCACTGTGTAGAAGAAATTCTTCAAAGTTTTATGTAAAAACATAATGCAAAATTTTTTTCAGATAACATTTAAACTGTGAGTTTGATTATAATTACGTAGGCATGTCTGCATGTAACTGTCAACATTTAACAGTGGATCTTGGGGTTATAGGATTATGGGCTCTTCAGTTTTATTTTTTATATACTTACACATTTTTCATGTTTATAACACCTCTAGACCCAAGATCAATCACAAATCAGGCAATATATTATGGCTTTCATATTCAGGGTCTCACATCAATCCTTCATCATTGTTCCTGTCTTGTGGATAAGCATCATAATTATCTTAATCACTATCATCACACCTAACATTTATAAGACTTCCTATATGCTGACCATTAAGACCTTTATATGGATTTAACTCATTTAATCATCATAATAGACCTATTGAAATGGTTCTTATTAGTTCCATTTTACTGGCGAGGGAACTATTATCACAGAAGTACATACATACATAGAGCCCCACATCACAAAATCAGCAAGCACTGAGGTCAGGTCCAAACCCTGTGGCTCTTGTTCTTAACCACTATGCTGTCCTCCTCCTCTATTAATAGGGAAATTAGGATTCAGAGAGGATGTTACCTTGCCCAAGGTCACAACTTTGGTACATGGCAAACCTGAACTGGTCAAGCCCCTGCCATGTCTCCTAGACTGTGGTAGCTATTGCCCTTACAGCAGACAAACCAACCCAGAGCCAGGAAACCATTCCTGACTATCGCCTCTGGTAGATTTAGATAGCTATTTACACCAGGTCATACAGAGCTTTGGAGCACTGATGCCAGAGATCTCTAAGGCCCATTAATGCCCTAGAATTTGATCACTTAATGATTCCAGTCATACTTTGACATCTTTTTTACTGAATACATCAGAAATAAATGGGGAATACTGCAAGCTTAAGATACTAAAGGAACCAACGTCATTCTAGGAAATGGAGAGGTAGAAGGGACAGAAAAGCAAAAAAAAAAAGCTGGTCTCAGGTGACCTGAAGGTGGGGCTGGGGGAAACCCACTCCAAATGCTTAGCCCATACAAGTTCTGCATATGGATGCATTTACTTATAAACATCAGATATTCTGGTTCTATAAGCTTCAATTTCTATTTAAACACTACAGCGCATCTGAAGAACTCTCTCCAGAATTATAAGAACAGTTGTCCAGGACTGGGAAGAGTCGCTTATTACTTGGTAATTAACATAGCAAATGGTAACACTTTCTAAATAGCACATTTGATGAGTAGGGGTATCTGGCAAAGAACTAAAATCCAAACATGTCATTATAGTTGCTGCAGACATGCCATATCACTTGAAAAGAACAATATAAAACACTCTGGTTCTATTTATAAACAGAGTATGACATTGTGATGTAACATATATCAGTAGTTAGATATTTACTAAAGACAATGTATTCTAACATGACAGAGTAATTGGAAATATGGTAATATGTTCCAGTGCGCTATAAAACTTTTTTTATATTTTTACAAAAGGCCCTAATGTGTTTTTATAGACTTATGTTATATGGTATGGTACATAATAGGAGAAAAGGACCCAGACAGGCTTGTCTGCGTTACGATCAGGAAAGCCTTGATAGTGCCAGTGAATGTAAGCTCCGCATTGTGTTGCAACTGAAGTGTCTCATTACAACAGTGAACTGTATTATATGGCACAATCTGCTCTTTTCCTACAACACTAAGTTTATTCCTGTCAGGTTCCTGATTTCTTAATATATTTTCAATTTTCTCCCTCATCCCTAAAGTCTCCTATTTTATGTAGTCTTCAGAACCTTCCAAACATCTATGAGAAAAACTCATTCTTTACAAAAACCTTGGCATCAGGTCCAGTGCTCTCTTGGGCTGCAATTTAGCATTAGCAATTTCCTAATGTATCATAAAGTCATCAGCTCAAGCTCACCTCTGATGTAATAGGGCTCAGCTGAAAGAGCCAGGCCCATTTCATCTCCTCTTGCGTTGATGGCAGTATTAACACTCATTAGATGTTATTAGCATGAAGATTAGCATGTTCAGGGCCACATAATAACTCAGCCACCCAGGAGTCTTACTCAAGCAAATAACATTACTCATCTTACCATGACAACTTCAGATGCACTCATCCAACTAAGGGAACAAACTCATAATGGCCCTTAGGAATCCATGACAGCAACATTTATTATCAATGTGCCCATATATCAGGGACACTACAGATAGTCTAATAGCCACTTGGAGTTTATTTCCTCAAAACTTCCCAAATGTCCCAGTAAAAGACTTTCCTGCCCCATTCTACTTGAATACCACCATGCTCCTATTCTCAATGCCTCACCAACATGTAATGAGTGTCTCCTATGTGCCCAGAATGGTGCTTTACTTACATTATTTCTTTTAAACCTCCAATAACCTAAAAAGTGATTCAAAAGCTCACTTTACAACTAAAGCTGAGGCAAAGAGAAATCATGGTTCCTGCCCACAAGGAGCAGGGTCTATAGAAGGCACCTATGCCAATTCCCTGTTTCCAGAGTTGACCACAGTTAAGCCACACCACACAAACTCCAACCAGGCCCTGACCTTCCCTCCCAAAAGAAAAAATAAAAAAACATGTCCATGGTGTAAGGAAATGAGCACTATATGGAGAGCCATGAGACTACATTATAGTCCTGGCTATGCCACAGACAAGCTGAGTAATATAGAAGTGGAATGGTTATCTCTGGACCTCAGTCTTCATCTTCTGAGAGGTAAAATCGAGAAGGGCACATGTGGGAGAGTAGGAAGGAGAAAGGATTAGCTCACCTCTGAGCTGCCTTCTTCATTGGGATCCATCTGATAGGGTAAGAAATGACGTTTCCATAATCACTTCTCAGGGAGTTACTTCTCCATCAGTGAAATCCCTTCTTTTCAAGTTATCATTTACATAATGTCATGTAACAGGCATTGCACTGGATCCCTGATATTCTCATTTAATCCTCACAAAAATCCTGTAAAGTAGATACAATGTTTGTTTTTCATATTACAAAGTAGAAGCCCTGTCCTTGTAAGTAACTTGCCTAACAGACACTGAACTAGGAATCAGAAAGCCAGGATCCACACAGGCTTACCTGACTCCAGACCCTGTGTCCCTTCTGTGCTGTACTATTCGGCCTTGGATGGGCTAACATAGAATGCTTTTACCTGACTTTAACCATCATGACGTGTACTTAAATTTGTGAACGTGGGAGACTCCATATTTTAAAATAAATTGGAGGGGAGGCAATTTCAACTCATTCAACAAGGATGTAAGCCTCAGATACACTCGTGAACCAACTGGCTTTTCTGGAAAAGAATGACTAGGATTTTTAGAGAAAGCATTGCAACCAAGAAGTGCTTGAAGTTGTTGCTTTCAAAAGGTTCAGAAAGTAAAACTGGGGGAAAGAAAATAGAGGGAAGAAGGGATGAACTATGAAATGACTGACCTGCTGAAAAAAATAAAAATCCAGAGTTGGAGACAGCAGAATTACAATCTTGACATTAGTCCCATATGGGTTATTACTCTTGATATCATTATAGCCAAATGGAATGAAAATAGAAGGGGGAGAAAAATCTCAGTGGGTATTGCAATTTAAATTTGGCATGTAAGCTAATACTGTATATTTAGAGACTGAGCAGACAGGGTGGTTGGTGGCTCAGAGTATGTGCATGGGTTGCTGTGCCAGCTAACCAAAGCAGACATTCATTAGAGCAAAACGTAGATTTCCATTTCTTGGCATCTGACATGGGCTCTTTCCTTGGAAAGAAATGTCAATTTGGCCAAAAGTGTGAAACCTACAATAAAAGCATTGGGACTGTGGACTTCATCTAGTCGGCACGTTCCCACTCCTTTCTTTCCTACTGTGGAAATCCAGTTGAGACTTGGGGTGCTGAGTGGAGAGGTGGCAGCAGAACTGATTAGGACACAGGATGTTAAAAAGGAGGGTAAAGAGCTGGGGGAGGGGAAACTGGACTCCCAAATTCCCTGTTTTCTTTTTAGCTTTCAATTACTATTTTCTCTTACCCTAAAACTGTCCAACACAAAAAACCAACCACAATTACTGTTTTGCACAAGGCCCCAAACAACAGCAGCTTCCAAATCCTTGCCATTGCCGGCTAGCTATGCAAGTTCTGGGTACTTACCCACACGCTCTGTGGGTAGCATAAGCAAAACTCGGCTCCTGAGGCAGGGCCTCAGGGAAGAGGCCCCCCCTTGCTTTAAAATTTCACTGTTTGTTTCTTTTGTTCAATAGACTGGAAAGACTATGACGACAGAGAGCCCAGACACAAGGGACAGAGTGAAGTTTTGGAAGGTCTGCTGCAGCAGGTCCGAGCCCTTCATCAGCAGTATAGCTGCCGGGGTAAGGATAAAAATCTGCGCTGGGCCATCAGCTGAGGTCTCAGTGGCGCCGGTAATTTTAGCAGTTTCCTAACTGGGTCATACCTTCTCATTCATCAGGGAGAGAGAGATATTAATATTTGTACATCTGGAATCACTTTAGTGCACTATCTTGCTTTACCCCTTCAGAAGAGACTTCCCTCTCCTTTCTTCCCTCCCTCCCTCCCTTTCTCTCTCACCCTCTCTCCCTGTGAACAGTTTGAAAACAAGCACAGGGAAAGCAGCATCTGCCATTACTTCCCTTCCCTCTGCATTGTTCCTTCATAAAGCAGCTCTGCGTGCTGGGTCTTTGGGATATTCACCCCCACACTTTCACCCGCAAGGAAAATTCCGTGAGCATCCCTGAGGATGCGCAACCAATTAAACTGCATAATAACCCTTTGTGTATATTTACAATAAAGTTCACAATCCAGTTTCACATCCAGCATCTTTTTCATCCTCATTTTGGCAATTACCAGGGGGCCTAGTGACCTGACCAAGGTCACAATGCCAGGAAAAAACAGAATCAATATTCCAACCTAGGTTTTCTATGTCCAAGTCCAGTCTTCCTGCCACACCTCATTTTTGTCTCTCATCCTTATATCAGGACCAGGAACTGGGCATTCATCTCACCCTGAATTTTAACCTTCTCCTGTACTACTGCTCTGGAGAAGAATAGAGCACACCTTCTCTAGATCTAGCCAACTACACCCAGAAAATATCTGAGAGGTTTTTAAAAGCTTCTCTGCTACTTGGGCTGTTCAAATGAGACAGGGTCAGGTTTCTGATCTGTGTAATGATTCATGGAACAGGCACTTAGTTTTATTTGGAGAATTAGGGCCTCCATAAAGTTTTCATTTTCCATGCTCCTTCAACCATCAGGTCTTCAATTGCATAACCCTCTTCTAGATTCAGGGCACTGCTGGGCTAGCTAGGGAGAAAAATCCATGTTTCAAACTTAGAGATGCTCACAGAGTTTGGATGAGGTATAAAGTGCTCATACTTAGCATTAGCATAATGTTGGTCCAATTACTGTGTAGCTATGACAACAGAAATGCTGGCTCTAGCTAGAAATGAGGACAAGGGCTTGCAAGAAAATACTGTTCTCCTAATGAGCGGTTCATGGGGAGCTATAAATATGCGTGGAAGAAGCGTGAGGAGATCCAAGTGGGATTTCATTCCCAGATTTGTAGGAAAACTTTATCCAGATCAAGACACTGAGCACTCCACATTGAGCAAAGTACAGTCAGTTCTCAGTTATCCAGGGCTCATTTAACCAGGCCAGGCATTTCTAGGGTCCTTTCTCCTCCTCTGCCTCGCCATCATTCCCCTGCCCAACTGGTTCTTGTATGGCAGGCAAAGATAATAAAACAATTAGATAGAAGATTTTTTGCTATTCACAAGCCACCTCATATTTGGTCTTTATCAGAGGGAGAAAACTAAAACACATGTGAGAATGAGGGATTCTTTTTTATATTATTTGAAGATTTAGATGCTCTCCCCATTACTATTGGATTACTATCCAGTAATCAAGAAACAACTGTCTAGACAGCCTAATTATTTCTATAGTTTCCATTAAAGTTTTACCACGTACATTCCCCTGACTGGGATGCATAAATGCACACAGTATCAGAAAAGATTTAAGTAAGGCATAACGCAGAACTTTCCAAAGTGGAGAAATATTTTTTATATTGAAATGTACTCTGAACACTTAAACAGCACCCAAAGTATCCCAAAGAATAGTGGTCATATAAGATGCTCAGCTGAAAAAGTGTCTCTAGTCAGTAAGTTTGAAAAATGTTGCATTTTACATCTCTTTCTTGAAAATATAAAATAGACATTACAAAAGTAAAGATTCTAATAAAGACATTTTGAATTTGATTAACCAAGCATTTTCCAAACTTATCTGGCTACTATAAAACTTTTTTCACAGAATTAGTGTTTCAAGACACAAACTTTGGGAAATGCTGACCTATAACATGCCAAGGTAAAAGAAACAAGATCACACAAAAAAGGAATGATTTTAAGATAATCTAATATTACACTAAATCTAAAAGGATAAATGAAGGATAATTAATATTTCATACAGAAAACTACAAAATTGTTTAAAGTACTCAATTACACTGAGATACTGTGTGGCTTATTAGGGACATAAACCTTCACAAATTTTGTAATTAGAAAAAATAATTATTTCAAATCCCAGTTCTACCACTTATTAGCTATGAATCCTTAAGAGAAGCATTTACCCTCCCTGAGCCATGCTTCCCAATCATAAAAGCAGGATAACAGTATCCACCTTTCAGGATTGTTATGAGAATTAAATTAGATAATGGATCAAATTCACCTGGCACAGTGTAGGCACTTCACAAACTCTAGCTTATTTTTCCTTCCATTGTTCTTCCAAATAAAGAATAGAGCCTCTCTTTACCCATTCAGCACTTTACTGATATGACTTAGAAATAAAGTGTAATCACTGACTCCATTGTAATGAGCTTGGAGTACTCAGTAAACATACAGAATATTCCAAATGCAGAAGTAATAACAAAACATCCATTTTTCTACCAAAGCCACATAGGAGACACAAAAATCACATTAATTTCTGTATTTTGGCTAAAGTGGCCACAGTTAATCTGCATGTACAGTACTAGGATGGAAATTCAATGGATGTTGATCAGCCTTTATCATTCACATAGCTGATGCTCTGACATACATAATGAATTATAAAAAAACTAGTTGTTCAACACATAAGTACCCTGCCAGAGTGAATTTCAATTATTATCCAATTTTTCAACTGGCAAACATTAATTGAAACACTTCCTATTATGTGTCCAGTGCTAGGCATACCAACATGAATAAACAAACTCCCTATGCCCCAAGCATTTAAAAGCTAAATAAGTACAGCAGTCAAAGCCCAGAAAACTAACCATTGCTCCAGAGCCGCCCTGAAACACGGAGAAGCAGAAGTCTCTACCTGTGACTCAGTGTATCGGTGTAGGCCTGGTGTCAGTCAAGATAAGCGGTAGCCAAACGATCCCCAAAACATGTATTTCTCTCACATGCTTTATGTCTACCACTGGTCAGCTCAAGGCTGTCCTATGTTGTGATCATCCTTTCTCTGGAAATATTTGCCAGCACCCATGGGAGAGGAAAAGAAACTCTTGAAGTTCTCATATGGGCAAGAATTTATGAGTGTCACTTAAGCTCAGAACTCATTGGCCAGAACTGGCTGCATGGCCCCACCAAAAGAGTTCCAAGAAGTGAAATTCTATCATGCACCCAGAATGGAGGAGACCCAATATTTAACATTTGCACAGGCCTCTTTCCCTACTAATACCATTTCTTGCTGTTCTTTTTATTTTTTAGTCTAATTTTTTTTAGTTTAATCTTCATTTTTATTTGTGTTATATATAAGTATAATGTGAGAATTACCTGTTGTAGCAGCTAAGAGCATGGCCTCTGAAGGCAGCTTAGCTGGGTTCAAATTCAGACTGGACATTTACTAGCTATGTGACCTTGAGCAAGTTGCCCACCCTCTCTATACCACACTTAGCTCACATGTAAAATGCAGATAAGAATTATAGATACCTGTCAGACATTGTTTGAAGACTGAATGACTTAAGCATTTTTAAAAGCTTTATTATTTTAAAAAAAGCAACTCCCCCAATTACCCATTTCCTTTTCCCTGAAGGCTCAAGTGTTTACTCAGTTTTATTTCTTCATGCCTCTAAATAACATGTTTATATTGCTAAAACTTCATTTTTTAATATTTGAGGCACCATCTTGCTAAGAAAAATGGTAATTTCTTTTTTACCCCTCTGCCCTCTTACATGCACATACAATTCCTACCCCTCATTCTCCTAATATATTTATATTGTACTTTTAGTAAGATCAATGCTTATTGCTTACATTATAATGATCATATAAATTCTATGATTATTTTCCATTCCTGGATAACTTTTTGTTGTCCCTGTAGTTTAACATCTTTTTGTGTGTGTTTTCTTGTTTTTCTATGTGGTTATAATGAATTAATCCCCAAGCTATTCTCCAATTATAGCAATTTTCTTTTAATACAATCAAATAGACTAGTATGTTTCAACTGCATCTTCTTAAAGAAACCTCTCTGGAGCCATCTGACTTGCTCCAATCTATCTGGCTACTGGCTGCCTCTCTGTCTGATGCACAACTGTCACCACCACACTGAGGACTCTTCTTACCACTTTCCAATATTGGATTTCCTCTTTTTGTATACCATGTCTTCATTTTTCTCAGTTAGTCTTTCATTTTGGTGGAGCCTTTCCTTTAGCAGCTTCCTGAGTAAGTATTTGGGAGCTAATTTTTTGATACATTGAATGAATGTCTAAAGATACTTTTATTCTGCTTAACATTTATTCAAGGTTTTGGATAAGTATAGAATTCTTGGTTAAAATAATCTTCCTTCAGATTTTGAAGGCATTGCTTCATTGTCTTCTAGCTTTCAGTGGAGAAAACTGATGCCATTCTGATTCCAGAGGTTTTATATGAAAACTTGTTTTTTTCCTTCTCTGGAAGATTTTTAAGGTTTCTTTTTAATTTTGGTACTCTCTAAAATTTCACTGATATATGCTTCAGTGTGGATCTATTTTTGTCGTGTTGGGCGCTTGGCAAGCCCTTTCAATATGGAAACCTACAACCTTCAATTGTAGGGTATTTTCTTAATTATTTCTTTAATTATTCATTCTTTTTCTCTTCTCTGTCCACTAGAATTTGTATTCAGGTGTTGAACCTCCTAGAGTAGACCTTTAATATTTTTTCTTATTTTTCCTCTCCTACTTTCCATCTCCAAGTCCTTTTGCGCTCTCTTGGAGCTTTCTCCAAAATATTTTCTTGGCCTTCTATCGGGTTTTTCAGTTTTTAATAGTATATTTCTAACTTCCAATGTGCTCCATTATTCTCTGAATGGTTTTCTTACAGACTCCTATCCTTTTCACGAGGATGAAATGTCTTTGCTTATCTCTCAGGCTATTAATGATAAGCATTGTTTCATCTTATATTTTCTTTTCTTAGCATAGACTCTCCTCTAAGTTGCTCTTTTGTTACTTTTGGCCTCTGTCTTTCCCATTAAATGTTTCTCACAACTGTCTAGTGTTCCTGGATGTTTGTTCAGATTTAAGAGAAGGAATTCAATAGCAGTTGGGAAGTTCTGAGCACGTGGATAGGACACTTTATTTATAGGTTTTGCTATAGGGTGAACCAGCATGACCTTTTCTTCAGGAAACCAATGAAACCAAAGTCAGAATCTCTGGATGTATCTCTTAGGCTTGTCAAGACTCTCCAGAGAAGTTTTGTCCAGTATCTGGCCTGGAGGGTGTAAGTTTGAGCACCGGTGTTTGGTGAGCCCAATGGGGAAATACCTGTAAGGAAGCTTTCATTTAATCCACCTGTTTTGAGTACAGTCCTACCCTCCCCACCCCACCCCATTTTTACCTGTACCCCATGGCTTCCACTTAAGACCTGTTTTTCACTCTTTCCAGATAATAAGTTCCTATCTTTCTCTAGGGTGGGAAGGGGTACATGTCTAACTATGTAAGTTAGAGGAAGAGATCTAGAAGTTTAACTGCTTTTTATACAGACTTCAACAAATTCCCCAGATTTTAGCTCTATATTCACCCTCCACTTCCAGCAATATATGGTGTCCATGGGGTGAATCAGGTTACTTATCAGCTTTCTCTACTGCTGGCTTAGGATTCATCTTTCTCAAGTCAGCTAAATCCATCTGTCCATCTGCTTTCCAGCTACCAAAATTCACTTGATTTTTCTCTCTTTCCCATCTCTTTGCCTTATATAGATTTATGTGGTTTCTTATATTTTAAAATCTCTTTAGTCTGGTGTTAGAGAGGTTTTGGAGAGTGGTATACAATGAATATACATATTCAATATGCTGCCTTTAACCAGAAGTCCCAGCAGCATTATTTTCAAGCGGTTATGACCAGCCAAATTCATGTGCAAGTTAGAAAAGAAGTTTAGTTTTTTCTGCCAGGAATAACCATTATCAGCACAAGTCTGAAGCTGGCATTAATGCATGTGTCAGTCAGATCATTCCCAACTGTTCCTACAGGATCATAGGCAGAGACACACTGGTCCTCAGCCATGGGCCATCTGCCCAGGTTTCCATGTGTAACAGCAGTGACGCAGACCGTGTTCTCATCTGCAGTGATGTGTCTGTCAGGAGTCTGGTGATGACCCCAGCAACTCTCCTTCATCACACAGAAGATGAGAATTTAAATCAGTGACTACCTAGTTCAGCTCTATGGAGTACTGCTTACAAAGAATGCTTTAGGAAGTCTACTACTTCATCAGTGAGAGCTCCAGGCTTAAATAGGAGAGGTAAAAGGTAATGGGAGGAGGGCAAAGGACTTGGTTCCATTTCTTTTTATCTCACTTTACAATAAATCACTCATCTTAAGAATATAAACAAACCTCTACAGGGTTTCCCCTGGAGTTATAAATATTACTCATCAGCATTTTGGTGGAGCTTATCATTAACTGAGTTAGCCACTGGCAACTCAAGATGTAAAGATCTAAGAGCTTCTTGTAGGAATGAATAGGAAGAAACCCTAAATGAAACTGGGGATAAGACACATAAGCAGACAGGGAGAGAGGAAAGCAGAAAGGTGGGAATAAGGTACTAGGAGTATTGTTCGGCTACTGGAACTTAACACTGTATTTTTTTCTGTGTCCCAGAAAGTTCAAAATTACAAACCACAGGCCGCAAGCAGTCAGTCTCAAGGAGCCTGAAACACCTATTCCATTCCTCAAACAAGTTCGTGAAGACCTTAAAACGGTGGGTCCTATGTAGTTTTTCCAGGAACTCTTAACTTCTCAGAAATCAATTGATTTTGGTTCTGAACAGAAATTTGACAGAATTTCTTTTTTGTTACTAAAAGAATACAAAGTTCACTTCTCTCCTGAAAATTTGGGCAAGACAGCAGTTTCTCTGAGTTCTAGTCAGGGAACTACGCTCATAGGTGTATTTTAAATTATCTTGTATCACGCCCAAAAGTATTTTTTTCCATGTTTCAGGCTTTGTAGAGAAGATGGTTGTGGACAATTTTTTTTATTTTGCTTTTTCTTTTTAGGGGACTCTACATAGCCGTTATATTTTATTACAAAGACAATATGTTAGTCACCAATGAAGATCAAATACCAATTGTTGAAATAGATGACTCTCACACCAGTTCCGTTACACAAGATTTTCTGTGGTTCACAAAGGTATACTGAATTCTGATTTCATTTCCTCCCACTTTGCACCAATGTTACCACACATAAATCTCTGAAACTTTCAGTTGAGGGGTCTCCAGTGATCAAAGTATTGGGGTGGAAGTAAATTATCTCAAAGGTCTCTTTCAGCCCTGACTTGCCCTATGACATACAGAATGCCAAAGTAGTGTCTATCCTATATTTTCAAAGCAGAGAAGCTTGCATCATGTCAGATTATGTCTCCACTATTCTGAGTTATGGGATCATTTGGCAAAGACTAAAAATGTGGATCTGACTATTTCATTAACATTCAGATCTTTTTCCAATTGGACGGAGATCAAAAAGTTATTTCACATGTATCTGAAAATGGACTGGAGAACAAACATTAGGGGTCAGGTTTCCTCTTCCCTGCTTTTTGCTTTGATTCCACAACCTAAATCATGTACTGGCTTGGATGATGACATGACCTCGTGACTTATTTTGCAGCTGTCTTGTATGTGGGAAGATATAAGGTGGCTGAGGCAAAGTGTACCTATCTCCATGTCCTCATCCACAGTACTGCAAACTCGGCAGAAGATGCTCGCAGCAACAGCCCAACTACAGGTGAGGAGCCAGGTTTCAAACCATACTCCCAAGGAAATTTCAGAAAAATTTGGTCAGTTCAGTTACCAATCTCACCTGGAAAGAAAAAGGCTGGACTCCTTCCTCTTTCAGATCCCTAAGCATATCAGCACTACTTGAACAGTTTGAGCTGCATGCCTGCTCATGTAGGGAACTTGTGTCTCTGGCTATCTTAAAGAAGAACAGCAGGGGGTCTCTCTTGAACAGCCTAGGAGTGACCCCATTAACTCGAAGGGCTGAAACAAGTTCTAGATTTAATATTAATCAGTCAACTCATTTATTTATTCTGGGCCTCAATTTTATCACTTGCAAAATCAGGGGAGTTTGACCAAGTCACTTGAAGAACCCTCATTGCTCCAGCATCCTGTGCACCTATGACATAAAGAAATGGAAAAGGAGATCAGCAGATATTTTGAGAAGTTTTTTGGCTTGATACTTTTGGTAAAGCAGAAGCATTTGCACATACTTTTGCTTACTTAAAAAAAAAACTCTTAAAGGCTTACTTTTAATTCTGAATTTGTTCATCATTCCATATTATTAACCCCACCAGATCAAGTCTCCAAGCCCTGCAAGAATATTTGTACATTACAGAGCCAATCCTATAAATGACACTGAATTTTACCCAAGCTCTTCTGGGCTTTTCTTTCATTATTTTCTGGCATTACCTGAACTTGTAGTTTTTAGCTACAAGGAACTGTAGTCTTTAAGAGATCAGTGAGCTTTTATCAGTGATGGATTTCTACCTACAAAGCTGTCAGTTGTATCAACCCCAGAAATTCTCGTACAAAAATCTGTGTAAGCTGTTATGGCAAGACCATACCAGCCAAGGCATAAAAATAGGGTCATAATAACAATAACACAATTTCTATGGCTCCGCCCTGCTCTCTGCAATCACAGAAACTTCATTTCTTCACCCACACAATAGTAACAATTCAACCCCCTCAAATAATTATTGTGTGGCTATTGTAATTAACTGAGAAAGGTAACTCTTACGCCTGTACTATACACTCTACTGCATAGGCAGTTTACTGCCGTGTTGTCCTCAACTGCCTCAGAGATCTTAGCAAATAGTGTTCTCCATTTCAACTCACTCTTGATTGCAAATCTTCTCAACTCAAGAAGTTCTTACAGCTGGACCATAATGACTGGGCTGAATTCAAAGCACCCCTTCCTCTCATCACTGACCAGCTTGAATTGGACCAAGCCACTGTACCTCAAACTGCTCTTCCTCTAGAATAAAGTTCATTCCCAGGAAGCTCCTTGGTCCCTTTGTAAGGTTCTTTCCCAGGAGGCTCAAATCCCTTAGTGGACTCTCCAATTAGCCTGCCATACAGCCCAAACATGCTGGATCAGAGACTGAACAACCTTAAAATTTCAAATGAGATTCTTTATTGTATGTTTATTGGAGGCTTCCTAGAACACTTTCATCTTATATCAGTAACACAAGAAGGATCAGGCTGTCACAAGCCAGTGCAGTTAGATACCAAGGGGCTAGAGGAAAGCCATGATGGTCAGTGTACCCCTAGTCAACTACTCCCATTGCAATAAAAGCTCTGGGATTTCCTTGGTCCCCCACTGTACTGGCCCCATGACTTTTCATAATGTATCAGCCCCCTTCTGAGATAATTTCCCTCCTTGTCTAGCTTAGATTCTTTGGTCCATCACAATCACTCCCTTGGAAATATTCTAAGTTTCTGTTTCCCTCCATATTATTTATTTGGAAAAACTCCAAGCCTGAATGAATCCAGCATGTCTAAAGCAAGAATCCAGCATGGAGTAGTTGTATATTGCTGTAGAAAAATCACCAAAAAGGAAGGGCAGGGGTGCTGAGCGGTTTTATGTTAAATTCATGACTACAATTCTCACCTGTAATGTTAACTAGTGATCAAATTCCATTTCTGTACTGAATTCATTTTCTCAAACTATAAGGCAACTATTTAAAACCTTCTCCATTCCTTCACATCCTTACCCCTTCCTCACACTCTCCATTCCCACATCAGGTGATGACTTCATTGTATAATTCATTAAGAAAATAAATGGGAATTATTTTTCCAACAACAAACTTAAAAGGCTCCCTGCATTGACCCCAGTTCCTCATTGTTCCCTCCTATTCCAACAGGTAAGTCTCACTCCTCCTGAAAAGGCTCATCCTTCAACACGTGCTCTGGATCCCACTTCTTCCCTCCCATCTCTATTCACACATAGTGAAGTCTCTCCAGTTTAACCTCTACTTGAATCCCTTCCTCAACCACACATGCTTGTTCAGCTACCAAACCCTCTCTTCTCTTTCTTAAAAACTTAAAAACTTCTTGAAAGAATTGCCTACATTCTCCTTCTCCATTTATTCCCTCTCTTCCCATTTAGTTCTCAGCCCTCTCCCTGACTTTTGCTACCACCATGCTTACCAAACTGCTCTCTCAGGCCATCAGTATCAGAGACAGATGATGCTCCTAAAGCTTGAGCTTCAGGGCCCTTAACTTGCATGAGCCCCAATGAGTGTGGGAGTCACAGAGTGTTCTAGTGGGAGAGGAAAAGTTGAGTTGTAATCAGGAAGTATTTCCTGTAAATTGCATAAAGGAACCTCATGGGGGAAAGGGGACTGGAAATTCCAAGTACTTCAGTATTGGGGAAGATTTCCTTTCTCATTCTAAATATATATTCACTTTCACATCTAATTTTTATATATGTAATTTTATATTCTTTGTCTTAAAGAGGATCCCAAAATTATATGGTACAGGGCCCTGCAAAACCTGGACCCATCCCTGCCAATGACTTCAGTTTCACTAAATCTCATGGCCACTTTTAAATCTTCTTCACAGATGACATCTCAGCAGCTTTTGATATACTTGGTCCCACTCTATTTTAAATTGCCACTTTCCTTGGCTTCCATGACTCCCCACTTTCTAGATTTTTTCCAACTTCCTGGTATGTCTTTCTTGGTCTCCTTTACTAGCTCCACATGTTGTTTCCTCTGCTTAGAACTGTCTTCTACTTCTTTGCCTTGCTAACTCCTACATATCCTTCAGATAGCAGCTTAATTTTTATACTTGCTCAGGAAGCCTTTCTCTGAACACCTGCTTAAGTGAATTACTCTCATAACACTGTATTCTTCATTCAGAATGATAATCTAATCCCTTAGTTAATTCACCCTGTATTCTTCATTCAGAACAATGATCATAATCCCACTAGTTAATTATTTGTATCATTATTCGGTTAGTGACCCACTTCAACTGTGCATCTCCAAGCCCACTGAATGTATTCATCTTGGTTATCACTACACCCCTCACATGTGGTTCGCACAGACCCTCAGTAAGCACTGGCTGCATAAATAAACGTATTTGTCAATCCAGCCATTGTATCTTGAAGATAAAACATGAGGGAAAAGAGATCACCTCAAGCCTTAGTTACCACCTGGATAGTTATCCAGCTCTGCAGTGACCAGCACATCATAGCACTCCATAAATAGTTATCCCTAAAAGTTCCCATCACACCAGAGCACTGTTATGTATCCCGTTCTCTCTGTCATATTTGCTTGCTTGCTTAAATAATAGGAGTCAATTTTATCTTTTTTGTAGGACCTTTTGCCCAAACTATCTGCTGATCTTTAGAATGAAAATATCTGGGGATATCAAAGCCACTCTTTTTTTGGTGGTGGGGGGAATGACAAGATACAGAGACACTTTTCAGAAGAGAAAGAAAAATAAATTAGGGGAAATTGATATATACTTAATATTTTAGATCTCTTTCTTAATCTAACACTTTTTACAATGTTCTGAGGAAAGTAAAGCAGTATTTTTAAATAGCTTGCCTGGCATCAGTCATACATAGACCCTGTTGATTTACATCTAGTACATCTCATTTTACCCTGTACCCTTTCCAGCATCACTACCACTGCCTGATTACTCCAGAAACATCAAAAGCCGCTAAAGTCATTCTCCTACTTCCAGTCTTAACACCCTCCAATCTATTCTCTACACTTCTGCCAGAGCAGCCAATCAAAGATTCTGACCATGTCATCCCCTGACTCATACTCTTTCAAGAGCGGCCCAAACATTTTGTCCTCACAAAAGGCGTTCATCACCATCCTTCCCCTCCTCCTGTTCCCACAGCACCCTGACTTACCTTCCTTACAGTGCATGTCAACCACTGTGCACCCTGGGCCATATTTTCCAGTTTTTGCTCTATAGTGAGGTCCTTTAATATGTAATAACCAAAGACAATCATGAAACAAGTCATTTATTTCATTTCATTATTTAATAGGTGCCATGCACTATGCCAAGCGCTTTATAAACTATATCTCATTTACTCTTCACTACACCCTCCTGAGAAAGTACTATTATTGATAGCCAATTAACATGATAAAGCTGAGGCCTGGAAAGGTTAAACAACTTGCCTAAGGTCACACAAATAGGAAGTAGCAGAGTCTGGATACAAATCCAGATCTGTATAATTTCGAAGCCTGCTTTCTTTCCAATACTTCATTATCTTATTGTATATTCATTTACAAAAAGCAAGCAAAGATTTAAATAGAAGAAATCGATATTACAGTTAAAAAAGAAAAAAGAGATTCATTCTGCATCACTTGGAGTCTATTTAGAAGTGGCCTTAAATTTTATTTGAAAGAAGGTAAAATATGAATTGATTGATTAATACTACCTTGGCAGGAGGAGAGACAATATTTGGATTTAAAAAACAAAATACGATGAGAAAGCCTGTAAGCAGCCAAGACCCCACACTGTTTTTCCTACTCTTAGGAAAATGGAAGAGGCCCCAAGAGGCAAACAGGTGCACTCCTCTTACATCAAGAGGCATATAAACTACTTATCTTCAAATATAGTAATATTCTGACACTGTAAATTGGGTTACATTAAACTTTCCTGCTACATAGCTTTTAGAAATCAGTGTTAGTGAACAGAAGCCAGATAACAATGTTTGAGTACTATGTCTTTTTCACTTCTCAAGGAGGGAAAAGGTTTCCCCAAAATTTGACTCTCCTTTCCAGGCCCTCATATCTCTAGTCTGGACTTCCTTCAAATTTCCATGTCACCCCAAACTGAATAAAAGTCTCTAAATATTGTGTGTCTGTCTAGGACTTACTAACAATCCTGTGATTTACTCTGGTTATAACCTAGATGCATTCCTGTGAACTATCAGGTGGCTTCTATTCCTCTTTACCCTGTAGGATCCTCAACATTCCCAGATCTCCTAACCCTAGTTGCATAGCATGACAAGTATTAACATGATTTATTTTTCCTTTAGGCCCTAAAGGGCCCCAAATATGCCCCCTTGGAACATGGTTCCAATTTATTTTCACAAGGATATTCTGCTTTTAAATTAGGCTCTCCCCAGAGCTAGCTACCCAACTCAATTTGATTTTTAGTGCTTTCTTATTCAGCCCATTAGTCAACATATCCAAAGCTGATAGTGAACCACTGATAATAGCTCCACTTAAATGAAATGACCACCTCATTCAATGTCTACCCACCAGCTTTGGTCCAAAGTAAACCATATTTTCCAGTGTCCTAATAATATATTAATTCAGTCAACAAAAAGTTATTGAGCTATTACTGTGTGCCAGGCACTGTGCAAACAACCCAGAGACACAGCGATGAAATAACCATATCTCATGACACGTACATCAATATGCAGGAAGCTAAGATCATGCTAAGATCCAAGTCTGTACAGGAAGCAATATGGGACAAAAGAAAGGATAGTAAATTCTACCTGAGAGAGTTGAAAAAACCTTCCCAGAGAAAGTGAAATGTGGGCTGAGTCTTGAAAACAAGTAAGTAAAAACCAGGGTGGGGTTCCAATTAAAGCAGTAAAGAAAGTCCACATCCTACTTATATCAAGCTTGGAAGTTTACAAAACACTTTCTCATGCATTGTTTCCTAATCCCCCAAATATTCTATAAGGTAAGGAGTAGCAAAAGGGATGTCTGGATTGTAAGGGGCCTTAATTTTAGATGATGAAATTCAGGGTCGGAGAGGGTAAATAATTTTTCAGAAGTCTACAAGTTAATAAACAGCAGCCAGCCTTGAAACTCAACACCAACACAGCTAAAGGCTTAACAGTGGCGTGCTGGAGCCAACTTGTACTGGCTCAGGAGAGCCAAACATTAAATATTCAGGAATTCTGAAAGCCTGTTGTCAAACCCTTGGTAGTTTGAAATCGACTATGGTGGGAGTATTTACACCACAGAAATAGGTATATGCTATAAATCAGACCTTTTCTTTTTCTTTATTTGGATAGCCAGTTTACCATCATACCACTGTTTATTTTCCAGTATTACTTTGCAGCAAACTGCCTTTATATAAAACTGTAGTACTACAGAGGGCTGGATTAAAAGCCTTACCCAATTACTTCTCTGTGATTTAAAAGTCAAATGCCAGAAAGGAATAATCTGATTGAGTGATTAGGCTACTTTTAAAAATAATAATCCTTCCAAATGAATTTTTATAATATGTTAATTATTTACAAAATTTACTTATGTGTCCAGTTCTTGTGAGGAAAAACAAAAGATTTAAGATACAGTCCCTCCCTGTAAGGGCACATTCCAGTGTTTTCATAGATGTGGATATTGACCAGCTGGCTCATTCACATTTAGGGTCACTCTTGTCACTTTTATAAATTGTTTCATTTTTGCTCTCCTGCTAGCAGACTATCTCATCAGCATCATCTGAACTCACAAAAATTAATAGCTGGGAGCTCTAAGATGATTTATAATTTTAAAAAATCATAGATACACAAACTAACAGGGTATTTTATCCTATTCATTCATGCTCTAGGTTAGAAATCTTCAAACCCTGCATATTTGTAAAACTGTTTATTTTGGTAACATCTGTCTAGGTCCCTTCACATTTAATGTGGCATCCTTCCCTTCCCATCTTTTTAAAAGTATTGTCTGCCTCAGTTGACCTAGCTCACATACAATTTAAAAAAAAATTTCAATAAACAGAATCCCCTGAAATCCAGATAAGTCAAACCAGGCCAATATCCCAATTAAAGTATCTTGAAGGGAATGTGCCATCATTTGGGGACATGTACAATGTGCTACATTATCAATTCACTTCCTCATTTTAAACAACCTCACTTCATACCAGCACTCTGTAGATGTCTTGAAAACTCCACCAGCAGCATACTTGAAATATCAGGCATTTTTCTTTAAAACATCTGGGATTCTCTTCAAGTGCTGGTAACTGAGGTTTATGTGCTGATGCGTCTATGTGGGAAAGAGATATTTACAGATACTGAATTTGCTTTAAAAAAAACAATTTTTGTGCCTTTTGCTATAATCTTTGCAGGTTTATGGTGAGGACATTTTCTTTGGGCTTCTGTTAAGTACATTTCTATGATACCCCATATTCTAGGATTAAGACATCTTTAAAAAAACTCAGAAACACCAGGTATTCAGTTATTTTTGTTGCACAGTATCATATAAGCTACAAGACATCTATTTGTTTCTAGAATTTACTTGGAACACACAACTTGGGAAGAATTTACTATGAGCCCATTAAAGACAGACATGGAAACATCCTAATAGTCACCATCAGAGAGGTGGAGATGCTCTATTCATTTTTTAATGGCAAATGGATGCAGATATCAAAGCTGCAAAGCCAAAGGAAGTCTTTGTCAACACCTGAGGAGCCAACAGCCTTAGACATTTTACTGATAACCATCCAGGTATGTAGTCTTTTCAATTTCATAATATATTTAAAGTTCTAAACACACTTACTGAGGTCCACTGAAATATACCAGGAGCCATTTACATAGGCAGTGATGGATTGGAGAGGGTTCAAAGATATGTCATTGCTTATGTTCCATACATAGGAAATATTCAGATGCTTATTTTTATTTATCATTCCCAAATCTGGAATTCATCAAGCAATACAAGTAGTGGGAACCCCGAAAATACCCCTGACCAATGAAAAAATGAGAAACGTTGAGACAAATGTTTGAGTAGGGGTCTACAGATAACATAATCAAAACATTAAACCAATACTTGAATGGAGTATAATAATAACATATTTATGGACTGTGTGTGTGTGTGCGTGTGTGTGTGTGTGTGTGTGTAACACTTTGAGTACTTTAAGACACATTTACGCTTGCTTGTTCCTTACAGTATTCCACTGAGACAGGCAGGCATGATTCAATCCACTGATTAGAAATGAAATAAATGAGACTCAAAGACATTCATGACCTATAGCCACACACAGAGGCAGACTCAAGTAAAGCTAATGAAGCTTCAGCATCATTTGGCTCTTCACTTGCATAAGCCCCTTCCAAGGACCTGTCAGGGACAATAACAATTTCACATTCATAATCTTGTTTTCTTCTTAAAGAAGGCACCAAAAATTGAATTCACTATAGGGCCCACAAAACTTGAATTGGCTCCTGAGCACAAAGCTAAATAATGGCAGAGCTTCTAATGAAAGCAGGCTTTATTCTGCTAAATTATATCACATTCCAGGACAGGAATTAGGATTGTAGTAAAGGAGGGACAGGAGATGAGATAAAGGATGAAAAACTCACCTAAGAACAGAATAGCCACCAAAATTCAAAATTAAGCCTCAGCCTGGATGGCAGAACCAGGATACAAACCTACCATCTTCTGCTCCTGAGTCCAGTGCTCTCTCCGTGTCACCAGACTGTCTCACATGTTCTTATGGAAACATGGGCTTCAAGCTGTTTCTTTTTATTTTTTTTTAAACCCAGTGATAGGAATTAGTTCTATAGAACACCCCAGTTAAATGGAAAAACTGGCAGAAAATCTAACTTGAGCCCTATGAAACCAATGACGTATATCCACAGCCAGCCAGTCCAGTGTAGTAGGAAAGAAAGGGCTCAGTCCCAGATAAACAAGCCAAATTCAAGCCTAATGCAGAAGCCCACTAACTTACTTCCATTCCCTACTGGGGGTGGTTGGTACAATTATTTCACCTTCCCTTACTTGCACTGGCCCAAACCAGGTTGAAGTTCACTGTAGGTAAGGTTAATTGGTCAAAACCAATAACTCTGGATTTGATTTTATGGAATTTGGGTTCATATGAAATTGATGGAGGGTGTGTGTGTGTGTAGGAGGTAGGGGGCAGGGAACAGAGACATATTCGTGGCTCCCCTCTTCACCTTTTATAAGCAAGTGCTAAAAGAAACATTTAAAAAATCATAATTGAGCTTTTACAGGGTGACTAATACACTAATCCCCTACAGGGATAAACTGGGGTCTGGGCTACCTTTGCTCCTAGAAACCCAGCACAGGCCTCAGCATGATATAATACCTGGTTTCTCCTAGACTTATTACATTTAAAAAGTGTTACAGGTGCAGAAAAATTCCAATCTGGCGAAAGGTTGTTAGAGAAAGGACCAAAAATAGAGGCAAGATCAGGTTTCCCCATAGATTCAAGTGGAAAATTTACCCCCGCTGACTGGCACATTCCTGCCTGATGTCATTCCTACCCACCCCCACTCTTGTTTCACCTTCTCCTATTTTTTCTTTCTCCTCCTTCTCATAGAGGTCTTACACTAGAGAGGAAATGGGGAATAAAACTATTAGAGCTGATATCCAGTCACTCCCAGACTTAAGATTTAATTATGTCAGGAGTTGGCCCCACCAACTCAACATGAAAGTAGAGGCAGGTCAGGGTGGGAGGAGCCAAGATGGCGGTGTGAGTAGTTCAGCAGAAATCTCCTCCCAAAAACATATATATTTTTGAAAATACAACACATACAACTATTCCTAAAAGAGAGACCAGTGGATACAATACAACAGCCAGGCTACATCTACATCTGCGAGAACTCAGCACCTCACAAAGGAAGTAACATACAAGAGCTAAGGGATGAAGTCTGGAAGGAGATTACAGAAACGAAACAATCTCTGGAAGGACTTATGAGCAGACTGGATGAGGTGCAAGAGGCCGTTAATGGAATAGAAATCAGAGAACAGGAACACAGAGAAGCTGAGGCAGAGAGAGATAAAAGGATATCCCCAAGAACAAAAGAATATTAAGAAAACTGTGTGACCAATCCAAATGGAACAATATTTGCATTATAGGGGTACCAGAAGAAGAAGAAGAGAGAGAAAAGGGGATAGAAAGTGTCTTTGTAGAAATAATTGCTGAAAACTTCCCCAAAGTTTCCTGAGGGAGGAAATAGTCTCTCAGACCATGGAGGCCCACAGAAATCCCAACACAAGGGACCCAAGGAGGACAAAACCAAGACATATAATAATTAAAACGGCAAAGATCAAAGACAAGGACAGAGTATTAAAGGCAGCCAGAGAGAGAAAAAAGGTCACCTACAAAGGAAAACCCATTAGGCTATCATCAGACTTCTCAACAGAAACCCTACAGGACAGAAGAGAATGGCATGATATATTTAATGTAATGAAACAGAAGAGCCTTGAACCAAGAATACTGTATCCAGCACGATTATATTTTAAATATGAAGGAGGGATTAAACAATTCCCAGACAAACAAAAGTCGAGAGAATTTGCCTCCCACAAACCACCTCTACAGGGTATTTTAGAGGGACTGCTCTAGATGGAAGCACTCCTAAGGCTAAATAGATGTCACCAGAGAAAAAAAAATCACAGCAAAGAAAGCACACCAACCAAATACTAACTAAAGGCAAAAAATAAAATCAACTACTCACAAAACCAGTCAAAGGAAACACAAAAGAACACAGAATAAAACACTTAACATATAAAGAACGGAGGAGGAGGAATAAGAAGGGAGAGAAATAAAGAATCATCAGACTGTGCTTATAATAGCTTAATAAGTGAGTTAAGTGAGACAGTGAGATAGTAAAAAAGCTAACCTTGAACCATTGGTAACCACAAATCTAAAGCCTCAATGGCAATAAGTACATATCTTTCAATAATCACCCTAAATGTAAATGGACTGAATGCACTAATCAAAAGACACAGAGTAACAGAATGGATAAAAAAGCAAGACCCATCTATACGCTGTTTACAAGAGACTCACCTCAAACCCAAAGACATACATAGACTAAAAGTCAAGAGATGGAAAAAGATATTTCATGCAAACAATAGGGAGAAAAAAGCAGGTGTAGCAGTACTTGTATCAAACAAAATAGACTTCAAAACAAAGAAAGTAACAAGAGATAAAGAAGGATATTACATAATGATAAAGGGGTCAGTCAGCCCAACAAGAGGATATAATCATTATAAATATATATACATCCAGTACAGGAGCACCAACATATGTGAAACAAATACTAACAGAATTAAAGGAGGAAATAGAATGCAATGCATTCGTTCTAGGAGACTTCAACACACCACTCACTCCAAAGGACAGATCCACCAGACAGAAAATAAGTAAGGACACAGAGGCACTGAACAACACACTAGAAGAGATGGACCTAATAGACATCTACAGGACTCTACACCCAAAAGCAGCAGGATACACATTCTTCTCAAGTGCACATGGAACAGTCTCCAGAATAGGCCACATACTAAGCCACAAAGAGAGCCTCAGTAAATTCAAAAAGATTGAAATTCTACCAAACAACTTCTCAGACCACTAAGGCATAAAACTAGAAACACATTGCACAAAGAAAACAAAAAGGCTCACAAACACATGGAAGCTTAACAACATGCTCCTAAATAATCAATTGATCAATGAACAAATTAAAATAGAGATCAAGCACTACATGGAGACAAATGACACTGACAGCATAAAGCGCCAACTTCTGTGGGACGCAGCAAAGGCAGTTCTAAGAGGAAACTTTATAGTAATCCAGGCCTAGTTAAAGAAGGAAGAACATTCCCAAATGAATAGTCAAACTAACAATTCTTAAAACTGGAAAAAGAAGAACAAATGAGGCCCAAAGTCATCAGAAGGAAGGACATAATAAAGATCAGAGAAGAAATAAATAAAATTGAGAACAATAAAATAATAGAAAAAAATTAATGAAACCAAGAGCTGGTTCTTTGAAAAGGTTAAAAAAATAGATAAGCCCCTACCCAGACTTATAAAGAAAAAAAGAGAATCTACACATATCAACAGAATCAGAAATGAGAAAGGAAAAATCACGATGGACCCCAAAGAAATACAAAAAATTATTAATTAAAGAATACTATGAGGACGGAGCCAAGATGATGGCGTGAGTAGAGCAGCAGAAATCTCCTCCCAAAACCACATATATCTATGAAAAAATAACAAAGACAACTCTTCCTAAAATAGAGACACAGGACAACATCCAGACCACATCCACACCTGTGAGAACGCAGCGCCTCACAACAGGGGTAAGATAAAAACCCCAGCCCAGCAGGTCCCGAGCACCCCTCCCCCCAGCTCACAGTGGGAAGAGAGGGAGAGATCTCAGTGGTAGGGAGAAGGAGCCCAGGACTGCTGAACACCCAGCCCCAGTCATCCAGACCAGAGCGCAGACACAGTTCATGCACGGGGTCCTGGATACTAGGGAAACAGGGCAGGAGGACTGGTGAACGGGTGCCTGAGGCCAACGACAGAGAACAAAGAAATGGGAGCGGCCATTTTTTTTTCCTCTTTGTTTTTTTTGGTTTTTTTTTTGGCGAGTGCTTTTTGGAAGTCTTAAAGGGACAAGGACCCCAATACTAGGGAAACAGGGCAGCAAGACCGGAGAGCAGGTGCCTGAGACCGGCGCCTGAGGACAAAGAAAATCATGCTTTTTCTTTTTTCTTT